TTAATAATTGCAAAATAGGTTCAGGGGTTAGTAATTTTAGGATGAATTCAAGGGTAGCTTAGACATTTAGGATTAGATAGCACATGGTAGTTGAAACTAGAATCTTCTAGGATCTTCCAAAGTAGGACTTCAATGTAATTTCAGTAATTGTAGTGTGCTAACTTGTGACACAAGTAAGAAAATGAGGGATTAAGTAGCAAAAAGGAAAATTGGAGAGGGATTAAAATGAAATAACTGAATCCCTAAGGCTGCCCTAGTAACTTGCCTATAAAGGCATTGTTACTTGAGGCTCAAGAGAGAGAGAGGAGCCTAAAAACATACTGAAAAGCTTCTGCAAACGGGAGGCAACAAAAACTCCAAAAAATCACTATTCCATTGAAATTTGTAGGATAGTTTGAAAGCTCTCATGTTCTGAATTAAAACTCCAGCTTATCCAAGGGTTGAAAATGGCTTGAATTGTCGGGTGTTTCTGTAATTGTGGATTTCAGAAGTTCCTGGGGTCATTTTTGGGTTTATTTGAGCTGATTCAAGCTGGTGTTGAGTTTTTCACTGGTGATATTCATTTGAAATTGATTGCTGGCTGCATAATATCATTTCTGGGTTAAAAATCATCCAAAGCCGCTGTTGATTGCTGTATACTGCTGCTGACTTCTTCCCTTTTTGTTTGCCTCAAATTCCAGGTACTTATTTTGGCCTCAAATGACTTATGAATGCGAGTCTGATGTATAGTCAAATTGGAAGAAAAATTGGAGTGCAAGCTGTATTTTACCTTTGTTTAAATACAATGCAATTTTGTATTCATTTGGACACTATAACATGTACATTGATAGGACTGTATGGACTGTGACTTAACCGACTGTTATATGCTTTAGAACCATATAAATACTCTGTTGAACAGTGTTAGGCTTAATTCGTGTTAGTCCTGTTGTCATGTTTGATAATCAAACTTAAAACATGATTTTAGTTTTGATGAAATTAGCCAGTTCATCACAAGGCTTTGTTTGTTACGTTGTTTACTCAAAACTAGAGAGGACACCAGTGACTACTCATGAATTTACATGTCCATAATACGGTTGCTTAGTTTTAAAATGAACGGATCCCTTATTACAATAACTCTAAAAAGAGTTTGATAGGCCAATTTGAAATCAGGATTGTATTTCGTTTAATTCACAATAAAATCGGACATCCTGTGAGACTTGGGCTTGGTCAAGTGATAAGAGCCCAATTACAATTGGCTTCATAAAATGGAGCATAGCATAACTCCACAAATACAATTTACTCTCAATTTGGGCTCCTGAATAAGCCCACTGTTTGATGGACTCTCGTCCAAAGTATGCTGAAATTCATTATTGTGGAATTGGTTTAGATGCCCTACTTCATAGTTTAATATAATATAAATTGGGCTTTCAAGTTAGGTGGTGGGTTTAAATTAAAGGGCTTTGTCCTTTTGTTTGAATCCGGACTTGAACTCGAAGCCCGAATTTTATAACATTGATTATTTCGGCCCTTTGGAGACAAAATTAAATAGAAAATCACAGCATACTTTAGGATATCCTTTAAATAAAAGTGGGACGAGCCTCGCCAAACAAATTCATAAGTTGCGGGGCCCTCATTAAATGCTTATATTAAAATATTTTAGAAATTGGGAAAGCCATTTAGCAAATTTCCATGGCGTCCCGCAGAGATATCAACACGCTATGTGCCTTGGGCGAGAATGTTAATAATATTACTCTCCTAAACTGGGGTGTGCATTTCATGCAACCCAAATCCAAATCCCCAAACGTTGAATAAGAGGTGTTGAGGATCCGGGTGCATTTCATGTGACGTGATCCAAAAGCACGCTCTTAAACGACGTTCACTTCCGTATAAATAAACTAAAAGCGGTTGAATAATTCTTAAAATTGCACAATAGGTTGGAGCTTGTAGTAAAATCAGATTTTAGCCATTTATGATAATTTAAGCGACCGTGCTAGAACCACGGGATCCGGGGGTGCTTAACACCTTCCCTCGGGTCAACAGAATTCCTTACACAGAATTTCTGGTTCGCAGACTCCAATTGGGAGGTCGAAATATTCCTCGATCTGGGATTTAAATTAAATCGGTGACTTGGGACACCAAAAGCCCGTCCTATCCCAAGTGGCGACTCTAAAAATTAAATAAATAATCCCATTTCGAATAATGTCACTTTAAATGGAAAAACTCCCTTATACACTTATCCTTCGGGTTAGGTGCGTAAAAAGGAGGTGTGACAGCCCTGTGGGTTCGGTCATATCTTAATAAAATCTTCATTTTCCCTCAGAACAAGAAACTGGGGCAGAATTTTAAGGAGGACCCTCAAAATTCTGGAGCAAGTCCAGCCAACGCCTTCATATGCCAGACAGTCAGAAATTGGTTAAGAAAATGGGGCAGAATTTTGAGAAGGATTCCCAAAATTCTAGAGAAGGTTCAGCAAGTTTCGTCACACGCAAAGCGGCCGAAGGATCATTTACCAAACTGGGGCAGAATTTTGAGGAGGACCCTCAAAATTCTAATACAAGAAAGCTACAATGTCTCTGAAATGTGTTACAGTCACTAGTTCATCTAAAATTACTTAATATTTCACTATGTTTTCTAAAATAACTCTATTTTCATCAATAAATGCGTATTTTCGAAAACTCTATTTTCGTGACAGCCAGGTGCTACCCAGGCCAACTCAAACAGGGCCTCCAAAACGGAACAAAGCACCGCCGGCCAGCAGACAAAGGCACGAACCAACCTCCCATTACAAAACTCACGACTTTTCTATGGGTGCAGGCACAGTGGACATAACAGGAGTATTCGCAAGCATACACATATCAAAGTCACTATCAAACAAGCCACCAGACGCAAATATAACTCCACCTAAGAAATATTCTACTCCTATTTGCTACTTGTTTGCTGCATAAGGCTAAGAATTGCCTTCTCTTTTCATGAGACTAAGCCCTGTCTCAACTCCTGCATGAGGCTAAGCCCTGCCTCCCTTCTTGCATAAGGCTAAGCGTTGCCTTCTCCTTGCATGAATCTAAGCCTTGTCTCCACTCCTGCATGAGGCTAAGCCCTGCCTCCATATTTGCATAAGGCTAAGCGTTGCCTTCTCATTGCATGATACTAAGCCTTGTCTTCGGTCCTGCATGAGGCTAAGCCCTACCTCCATATTTGCATAAGGCTAAGCATTGCCTTCTCTTTGCATGAGACTATGCCTTATCTCCAGTCCTGCATGAGGCTAAGCCCTGCCTCCATATTTGCATATGGCTAAGCACTGCCTTCTCTTTGCATGAGACTAAGCCCTGCCTCCATATCTACATAAGGCTAAGAGATGCCTTCTCTTTGCATGAGACTAAGTCCTGTCTCAAATCTTGCATGAGGCTAAGCCCTGCCTCCATATTTGCATAAGGCTAAGAACTGCCTTCTCTTTGCATGAGACTAAGCCTTGTCTCCAGTCCTGCATGAGGCTAAGCCCTGCCTCCATATTTGCATAAGGCTAAGCACTTCCCTCTCTTTGCATGAGACTAAGCCTTGTCTCAAATATTACATGAGGCTAAGCCTTGCCTCCATATCTGCATAAGGCTAAGCACTGCCTCCTCTTTGCATGAGACTAAGTCCTGTCTCAAATATTGCAAGAGGCTAAGCCCTGCCTCCATATCTACATAAGGCTAAGCACTGCCTTCTCTTTGCATGAGACTAAGCCCTGTCTCAAATCTTGCATGAGGCTAAGCCCTGCCTCCATATTTGAATTAGGGTAAGCACTGCCTTCTCGTAAGACTAAGCTTGGTTACCCTCTGCATTAATGTTGCTCTATTCTAAACTTGGCACTATCTTCTTCCCTCGGGCTAAGCTCTGCCCCCAAACTCCGCACAAGACTAAGCTTTGTCTTGCTATCACTTTCAGTATCATATCTCTGCACTTCATGGGCTGACATATAGCCAACCTGTCCAAAGGCGTCATAGTCCAAAGGCATCATCCTCACAACCTGAAGACACCATGTCATGGCCTGAGGATCTCTCAATACGTGCACATCATTATTCAAAGGCGTCATGGTTCAGAGGCACCATCCTCATGGCCCGAGAACATCATTTCATGGCCTGTGAATCTCCTATCTCATAATTCATGGCCCGGGACATCATAGTCTAAGGACGTCATCAACTTGTCCAAAGACAATCTTTCATATTCTAAAGGGAAGTCGCATCACGTTTAAATTCTTGCAGTAATCTATATACTTGCACGCATCGTATTTTGAGTTTTGCAGGTAATCCAGGAGGTAGCCGTTCTCCAAACAGGAGCGATCTTCGCTCCAGTTTCCGCTCATACCATTTTCACTTTGCCATTACAACCAATTCCCATCAATTAACCACCTTACTTTGTGACCATTCAGATATCTGCCCTGTAATACATCTGTTACACTCCAAACTCACAATCATAACTCCATCCAACATTACCCTTCACAAAAGAACCTTTCCATCGGCTTCATTCACCGTTGGGTCCAAAACTACACATGGCCTGATTCTTGTAAAACCAGGGATATGTAGGCAACTCAAAGACCAGGGTTCGGCCTCTATTTTTTAGAACACACATTCGGTCAAAATCGGTCATCATTTCTATACCCGAAAACTCTTTCATCCTTCCGAGTAAGAGGGGCAACTGTTGATACCCAATTTTTCCCTCATATATTTTTAAACATGCATACATACTTTCAAAATATTGTACATGCATTTACGAACATGCACAAGTATTTTTACAATCTTTTCTATAATTTTTAAAGGCCTTAAATCAATTTATTTCTACATTTTAAGTATATAAATATTCAATAAGTATCCCTCATATTACCTTACAATGATTTAGTCATCTAAATTCATCATTTATAATCATATAAGTGTTCAAATATTTTTAATTGCATTTTCTACAATTACAGTTGCATTTTAAGACTATAATTGCACATTTTGCAATAATAGCCCATCCATATGCATAATTACATTACCTATACAGTAAATAACTTTTTATATTTTTATAATATTAAGTAATTATTTTAAATCACCTTCACGCATAAAAATCATTTTTTATCATTTAATTAGCTATTTTTAAAAATTATTTTATTAAAAAATTGGGTATTTAACAAATAGCCCCTTAATTGTATCCAAATTCAGACCCTCTCAGCCCAATTTAAATTAACCTAAGCGAAATCACCCAGCCCAAAACCAAACGACCTCTACCCGACCCAAATCCCTTCTAATCGTGGCCGTTGATCTTTGAGATCAACGGTCCACGATCACCCTTTCCTTTTTTAACCCAAACGACCACCTAACCCTGGTCATTTGTTACACCCCGCCGCCCTTGAATCCCTCACTCTCTTCTCTCTGAGACCATTCAAACCTTAGATGCGCCGTCACCTCTAAACCTCCCAAATCCCTTTGACCCCTGACCTAATATGGGGTTATTTGGGGTTTTGCTACCCTATCTAACCTATTACCTCTGCTGGATGTTCGATTCATGTTGTTTTGTGAGGGAACTTCGAAGAGGTTCGATTCAAAGTCGACCTAGGCTTTTTGTTTCCTTATGAACACCACTTTGTGTTCATTAACGTTTGTGAGTCTCGTTGGTTTTGTGGTTGTGGTTAGATTTCTCCTTTACCCCGCCCTTTTCTCAAAAACCTTCATCTTTTCAACGTGAATCTTTTCAGATCTTTGTAGATCTGGAGTGATTTTGAGTTAATCCGGTAGTTTTCGTTTAAAATATCTTGTTCTCTTTATTGTTAATCGAGTTTAGTATCCCTCTAGATTAGGGTTTTGCTTCTTTGTTATTTGCTGTTCAAATCTTTTTGGATCAAAAAAGATTTTGAGTTTCTATAGCATTTTTCTTTAAAGATCTTCTATTTCCTTGCTGTTAATCGATCCTAATATTCTCTAAGAACTAGGGTTTCACTTCGTCTGTTTCTGCGAAACTTTTCTAAAAAAA